TTGTGTCTTTTGTAGACAGCCTTCCTTTTCCAGGCCTCCTGCCACCACCATATTCTCGCCCTTTCCTGAATACTTACTATACATTGCTAGATTTATCCATCTAAAAGATTCTATTTACCTATCATCCCAATGCCTCTGTTTATACTGAATTCATTCTGCCTGAAATGTTGCTCCCTTGCTTGTACTGATCTAAATTCTACATTTTGTCATGTCCTGCTTTCTTTGTGAAGCCTTTTCTGTTCTAAGTTTCAGTGTCCAGTTGCTCTGATCTGACTTTCCAGAACATGTATTGTCCGTATTGGTCATTTAGCGCATGCACGCACACACACACACACACACACACACACACACACACACACACACAATGCTACTTTGGCTTATCTGTGCATGAATTCTGGCTTCCTTTCTAGCAGTACTTGGTAGTCGTTGTGCATTAAGAGTTACTGAGGTTTCTCCCTCATATTCAAGACAGAGAGTTAAGAGACATCCCAATTTATATAAAAAGAAACTAACAAGCAGATTTACATCATTCCAATTTCCTAAGGTTGAATTGGGGTTTTTCTATTGATAATTTTTCTGGAGCAACTACTCTATGCCTCTATGCTAGACATTATACTAGATGTTGAAGATGGAACAATGAAGGACAGCAGTCAGTGCTTTCCAGTAATGCACGTTCTGACCAGGGAACAAACAGTTCAACACAATTATAACACCGTGGAGTGCACATCACAATAGATGTGTAGGCACTATCAGAACACATAAGAGGAACATGTAATGCCAACCTGGGAGGCCACAGAAGTTGTCCCAGAGAAAGGAATCCCAAAACAGGAACATGGGGAATGAGTAGAAGTTGCCCACGTGAAAGTGCGTGTGAGTGCATGTGCAGTGATGGGGTGGGGAATGGGGGACAGGAGATTACTTCCAGGCAGAAGGAACAACACGTGCAGGGTCCTGGAGACAAGCAAAATTTGGTTTGTTGAAAATACGAAGGGCGTTTAATTTGGCTGGAACACAAAGTACAAGGCATGGGAAAGCAAGAGATGAGGTTGGAGGGACAATCAGGGCTTATGATAAGATAATAAACACTTGTGAGGGCAGTGAGGAGTGGACTGAAGGCTGAGTGACTACATTAGATTCATATTTGGGGAATACCACATTGCTTGCAGCGTAGAGGATAGCCTAAGGGAACAGGAGAGCGGAGGCAGGCAGGCCAGCTGGGCTGCTGATAATGGTAGGTAATCCAGCAAAAAGTTGAGGATGACCTAATCAGAGCAGTGGTGGTGGAGATGAAAAAGTGGATAAATTTCAAGGATGCTTATGGTAGAACTGCGAGGACTAAGTGGGTGTAGGGAGTGAGGGAGAGAGAGAGAGAGTTAAACGGATGCTAATGCCGTGTCATAAGAAGAAAATCAGGAGTGAGGCGCCTGGGTGGCTCAGTGGGTTAAAGCCTCTACCTTCGGCTGGAGTCATGATTCCAGGGTCCTGGGATCGAGCCCCACATCGGACTCTGCTCAGCAGGGAGACTGCTTCGTCCTCTCTCTCTCTCTCTCTGCCTGCCTCTCTGCCTACTTGTGACCTGTATTTGTCAAATAAATATATAAAATCTTTAATAAGAAGAAGAAGAAGAAGAAAATCAGGAGAAAAAGCTAGTCTGGAGGAGAAGATAATGCATTTGGTGTCAGGCGTGTTTAGCTTGGTATTCTGCACCTGGGTAGACCCATGTGGATATGTCGTGGCAGCTGTGTACACTGGCCTAAATCTCAGGACAGAAATCTCGGCCAGAGATGTAACTTCGGGACTACTCCAAGCAAGTGGGATAAGGAAGCTGTATAAGTCCCAGAAGACAGTGTATGTGTAGAGTAGCGTAGAGTAAGAAGTGTGTATAAAGTAAATAGATAAAACCAGACCCAAATCCTAAAACCCAGGGAACAAAAATGTTTAAAAGACAAGCAAGAGGATGTCATTAAAAAAAAAAAACAAAAACTGAAAACTGGCCCAGAGGTCGGAGGATATCTAAGAAAACATGGTGTTGCCTAAGTAGGTCAACGATGTTACATACAATATCAATTAATCCAGGCCTGTTATTTATGAGAAGGTTTTTGGTTTTTACCTTGGTGTGAATACTATAGTGCAACAGTTCTCAAACTTTTTGGTTGTACAAATGATTGTACACTCTTACAAATTATTGAGCACTCAGAGCTGATTTTGTGGCTACATCTATTAATATTTACTCCACTAGAAATTAAAACAAAACTTTAAACATATTAATTAACAAATAATAAACCTATTGATTACTAGTTAATGTGTTTATAAAAGTAACTATTTTAAAACAAAAAACTTAGGACAGTGGCATTATTTTACATTTTGGCAAATCTCTTTAACGTCTGGCTTAATAGAAAACAGCTGGATTCTCCTATCTGGTATGTCTTCAGTCTGTTTTGCTGTCACACGTTTTGTGTAGCCTCTGGAAAATTCTATTGTATTATCATGAGAGAGCAAGAGCGAGAAAAGTAAGTAACATCTTTTTTTTTTTTTAAGATTTTATTTGTTTATTTGACAGATAGAGATCACAAGTAGGCAGGGAGGTGGGGAAGCAGGCTCCCTGCTGAGCAGAAAGCCCGATGGCGATGGCAGGGCTCGATCCCAGGACCCTGAGATCATGACCTGAGTCGAAGGCAAAGGCTCAATCAACTGAGCCACCCAGGTGCCCCAAAAGTAAATAACGTCCTAAATAATTATGAAAATAGTTTGCTTCGCAGACTCCTTGAGAGGAACCTCTAGGGCTCTGAAGATTATATTTAACTGCCCCAGAGTGGAAAGCTTGACAATATTGTGAGCTTCACAAATAAACTCTTGATACTATAGTCAAAATTAAGGCAGATAGAGTCGACTGAGTTTTCAAGGGCTATTTTGTGAGAGGTTGACGTTACCGGGTTGGTACTACCTTCCAAAGTTAGGAATGGATTCAAGAATGTTCATTCAGTGAATTCATTCAACAAATATTTATTTAGGGGTGCCTGGGTGGCTCAGTCGGTTGAGTGTGGGATTCTTGGTTTTGGCTCAGGTCATGGTTGTGGGGTCCTGAGATCGAGTCCTATGTCAGACTCGGTGCTCAGCATGGAATCTGGGATTCTCTCTCCCACGTCCTTCTCTCCCTCTGTACCCCCCTTCCCCCCACTCATGCACATACTCTTCTCTCACAAATAAATAAATCTTTTAAATTAACCCAAATATTTATTTAGCACATATTCTATGCCAGTAACTTTCAGATGCAAAAGATATAACAATAAACAGACAAAAATCGCCTTCATGAAGCTTCCTTTCTGTTGGGTAAGACTATACAGTCAATAAAATAGTAAAATATATAGGGCACAGGAGCATGGTAAGGACTCTGCAGAAGAATAATGCAAAGAGGTATAGGGATTGTTGGAAGGATTTGCACATTTCAGTAGTAGGGACAGAGAAGGACTCATTTGAGCAAAGGCAACATTCCAGCAAAGACCTGAAGGAAGCGAGGGATCCATTTGGTTGTCTGGCAGAAAAGCTTTTCTAGGTATTTGAAAAAATTAGTTTTTAAAATTTATTCTAAATTTTGTTTATATATTCTCTAATGAGATATCTATTGTATCTGGCATTAGCTGCAAGTATTAAGAAAACAAGATTTGGGGGTGCCTGGGTAGCTCAGTGGGTTAAAGCCTCTGCCTTCAATTTGGGTCATGATCCTAGGGTCTTGGGATCGAGCCCCACATCCGGCTTTCTGCTCAGTGGGGAGCCTGCTTCCCTTCCTCTCTCTCTGCCTGCCTCTCTGCCTACTTGTGATCTCTGTCTGTCAAATAAATAAAATCTTAAAAAAAAAAAAAGAAAAGAAGATTTGAGAGCTCATGTTCATTTAGTGTCTGCCATGTACCAGGCACTTTGCTAACATATGTGAGGGTTGGTACTTTCACGAAGATTTGCAGATTGGTGAAGAAGACAAAGCATGTACCTACAATTCCTGCAGTTATAGGGGCAGCAGTTCTAATGAGGAGCAGTAGTTGGCTTGAAGTTGCACCAACAGAGGTTTGTATGCACCTGATCTGACATTTACATCTCCCTTCCACAGTGAACGGACATGTGACAGGTACTAGTCTTTAACCTAACAGAAGCTAAGCCAGGAGGTTAATAACACCCGATCGCACCTTTTACAGAGCACTTGAGTTTACAAAGTATGTTCATTAATTATCTCATTTAATCTTCGTAACAATTTTAAGCCACTATTATTCTAAGAAGTATTATTGGCTTTGTGAGACAGGAAATAGGCTCAGAAGGGTAGATAATGTAACATGGTTGTATGGTATGGTGTGGCGTTTCTGAGCACAACAGTCAAGAGAGAATTCTTGAGGAGTTGTATGGTGAAGCGTAAGGAGTTTATTTAAGTAGCATGGGGACAGGACCCGTGAGCAGAAAGGGCTGTACTCTTTGCTGTATGATGCTGGTGGTTATATGCTTAGTGCTCCAGGGGGAGGAGAGACGAGCAGAGAATACTAGATCATAAATGTTTTCTTCCTGTTTCTATTCCTGGAACTAGTTTTATAAGATTTCTCTGGTGCTTATCATTCAGTTCAATATTAGCCACCAGTAAGACATTCAGGTAGTCATGAGACTACAGCAAGCAGCACATATCTGAACCCTATCAAAACTATGCAGGCCGCAGGTCAGCCTTTTGGTCTGAGGGTGAACATTTTCCTGCTCCGATCCCTCATCAGGTAGCATTGGGACCTAAATTTAAGACATCTGCCTTCAAGCACAAGCTTTTCCTATTGCATTGCACCTGTTACGAGCAGCTGCTGAAATAAAAGAGCGTTATGCTCTGCCAGCTCAGTCCTTTCCCAAGTACACCACTGAAGGAGGGTTAGGTTAGGGCAGGGGAGGCGTAACCGCCTACAAAAGGGCGAAATCTCACGCGGCCCTTCCCTTCTGCGCCTGCGCAGAGGATGAATAAGCGCTCCGGAAAGACGCCTGGGACACTGAGTTTGCGCAGACGCAGAGCTTCCCCAAGGCGGAACTGGGGCGACCGGGACTTCTGCAACCTAAACACCCGGGGAGAAAGGAAGGTGGCAGACGTGCAGCGCTGCGCATGCGCGGGCGCCTCTCTCCGGTGAAGGGTTGAGAACCGGAACGCGGTGGCCAGCTGGGCTCAGAGCGGAGCGGCGTCAGGATGGACGAGGACGTGCTGACCACCCTGAAGATCCTCATCATCGGCGAGAGTGGCGTGGGCAAGTCTAGGTGAGGCGGGTCTGCGGGCGGTGACGAGGGCGGCGGGGCTCTCTGTGCCTCCGTAGCCGCTGTCTGCTGGGCCGCGTCGGGAACGGTAAAGGCGGCGGCCGGTGCGGGCCGGGCTGTGGGCGGGCTCTGCTGGTTCTCCCGGGCCTCTCCGCCGCGCGGTTCTTCAGCCCCTGCCTCCAGCGCCCGCCTGGTTGTCGGCCCCTGGCAGGCCCGACTTGTCTGGATACGTTCCCGTCCTGTCGTACCAAAGACAGAAACAATTCCGAGGGCCGCCTCTCGGTCGGCGGCTTCGCGGCCGAGGAGCTCAGGGCGTGGCGGGCGGGTTCGGGCCCGAGTGTGGCAGCGAGCGGAGCCCGGACTCGGCCCTGGGGTTCAGGTTCACTGTCACCCCGCGAGTTGAGTTGTAACTTCAGCACTTTGGTTCTTCTGTCAGGCTTTCTCTGACTACGCAGTATTCCACTCAGGAAGTTTCGCGACGCCGTGGGTCGCATTCCTGGCCTGTTTTGGTGCCGCCCATTGCTGCTTCTCTCTCTGCCTCTGAGTCAGCTGTGAAAGAACTCTTGGGTCTTCTGACTCCTTGAGTAATTCGCTTTAGTCGGAGATGCTAGAGGTTAAGCTCCGGACCGCCTTGGAGAATAAAGTGTCATTGTTCCTTCGCATTCTGCCGCATCGTTGAGAGGTGAAAGAGCGAATTAGTGTTTTGTGTATTCTTTCTTGACTTTTTCTGGAGGGAAAAGAATAATTGACAGTAGTGGAGTATCAGGTAAGAACAATGACGCCCAGTGAGTGTTGCAAGCGGGTTGTGATTTCATCCAAGCCTTAGAACAAAGTTCTCCAGGTAAAGTTCTCCTTGCCATCTTATGATGATGGTGATGGTGATGGTGATGATTACTAGGTTATATTCTTGGCTGTCTTGATTGTTAAACAATATTCCAATTCCAGGAGCTGTAATTTCATATTTTAGCTACATCTGCTGCTAAACTTATCTTTCAGATCGCTTCATCAGGTTGTACCTTTTTTAAAAAGAGATTTTGTTTCTCAAGATGGGATCGGGAGGGAGACAAACCATAAGTGACTCTTAATCTCACAAAACAAACTGAGGGTTGCTGGGGGTAGGGGGTTGGGAGAGGTGGGTGGGATTATGGACATTGGGGAGGGTATGTGCTATGGTGAGTGCTGTGAACTGTGTAAACCTGGCGATTCACAGACCTGTACCCCTCGGGATAAAATTACATTATATGTTTATAAAAAAAGAAAAAAAGATAGGATCAAAACCTTTAAAGTGGGAATAAAATGAAGTTAATAGTTTAAAAAAAAAGATGTTGTTTCTTTATTTGATAGAGACACAGCAAGAGAGGGAGCACAAGCAGGGGGGAGTGGGAGAGGGAGAAGCAGGCTTCCCGCTGAGCAGGGAGCCCTATACGGGGCTCAGTCCTAGGACCCGGGGATCATGATCGGATCCGAAGGAAGACGCTTAGCGACTGAGTCACCCAGATGCCCCAAGTTGTACTTCTTTAATTTGAATTTTGTTCTGTAATATGTTCTGCAATTTTTTATACTTTAAAAGTGTGACAGTATGCTTTCTAATTTTTCTCATTTAATAATTTTCTAATTTTTCTCATTTACCTCAGTGTATATTGGAGTGAGGGACTTGTACATAACAAGGAATGAATTAATGAAATACTGTGGGGTAGCAAAATAGTATGGGGAGTGTGTATGTGTATGTGTATGTATGTATGCATTATTTAAAGGACTGAATAGGGCACCTGGGTGGCTTAATTGGTTAAGCGTCTGCCTTGGGCTCAGTCCATGATCCTGGAGTTCATGATCCCAGAGTTGTGGGATTGGCCTTGCCTTAGGCTTCCTGTTCAGAGGGGAGTCTGCTTCTCTGCCCCTCCCCTGGCTCCTGCGCTCGTGCACTCTCTCTCTCTCTCTCTCTCTCTCAGAGAAATAAAATCTTTAAAAAAATAAAGGACTAAATAAAGTACTTTTCATGATCACTGTTTGAGGGTTAAAAAGTTAATATTTTGAGCATTGTCTTAGTAGGACTTCTACAGCCTCGTGATCTTTCTTGAGATGTGACCCTCATTTAGGTTAAGGCATAGGAAATGGCTGATTTTGAGGTCAGGAATGGTTGAATGTCATTTCACGTGATTCAGCCCAATCCAAGTTTGGTTGGCAGCATTTTCCTAAGGGTATTGGATGGGTGACCAGTTAACTGTGTTAAAATTTTCTGGAAGTTTAGAGTGTTTACGTAATTGAGGTTCTTCCTTTAGTGTTAAATCAGTTAGGCGGATTTATCCGTTTCCTTAGTTCCCTCCCTTCAGACAAACTTGTTTGGATCTAATCTGCTCCAAACTTTTCTCAGTACTTAATGGTGAATTTTCAGCTGCTCACTGCAAAATTTTAACCTTTACCTCTTTCAAGAAAGGATTATGTTAAGGGAGAAAGTTGGCTTATTTTTCTAGCTAGATGACCATTATTGGTGCATGTGCTCTGCTATGGAAAACAACCTTGAACGCTTATTCTTCTGGGTATGATGAGAATAAATGACTCTACTAACATAGAAGCCTGTTCCTTTTAAGCTGAGTAAGTACACAAACATTTGTCCAGGATATCATCTCTAAGGGTTGTTCTGACCAATAACTTTGTTTCTTTACAGATCTAGAGTTAAGGGAAGTGAAATACCATTTGTATTGTTGCATGAGAAAGGACATCTTAAGTAATTCAAATTAGTGGGTTATTTTTCTAGTTTATTTCAGACTGTTGGAGTGTGATGAGCATGTGTGGTAGCAGCCAGGAGATCGAGATTATTAAACTGGTGTTGCCACTTGTGTGACCTTGTGTGTGATACTTGAACACTCTAGGTCTTTTTTATTTGAAAAATGAGGTTGGAATAGAAATCCCTCAAACCTTATCTAACGTTAAATGTGTAAGATGCTTTGATTCTGTGGCTAGCCATGGTGAAGTAAAGAAGTAGCAAAGTGTTTCAGAATCTGGGAGGGATTATAGAGACCTTCTGTTAATTAAATTGCTGTCCTTGTGTCTCTGTGTGTCCACATCCTTTTTCGCCAATTTCAGGTGTAAATTAAGAAATGCAGACTATTTATGATCACACTGTTTATTATAAATTTGGTTTCCTCTAAATGATATGGAGGTAGTTACTCCTTCTACCTGTAGCTCTGTGTGGAGAGTGTTTTGTTCCTTTGACTTTGAAAATACGAATGCTTAACTATATATCCTTTAAAGCATGGTTCTTAACCATTTTCTGGTTGTGGAGTCTTTAAAATGTTTAACAGGGAAATAAACTCTCTGCCTAGAAAATAGCATCACATAGAGTTTTGAATACATTTCCAGCTAACAGTATACCCCTGGCTAAGATCTTACATTTAGAGCCAGTATTAAAATTTGTTGCTTTGTACCGTATAGGTTCCCTGCCTTTCCTGACAAAGGACCTTTAATGACGAGGATTATCATAAGGATTAGCAATTATGTAAGAAGAAACGCTGGCTCAAGTGTCTGGCACATTGTTCATGTTCAATAAATAATGGCCAATATCATTGTTATTATTTGTATTATTCTGGTATTATTATTACTACTGCCACTGCTACTCTGCAAGTTTCTTTTTTTTTAGTGTGGTGACTAAGAATGGGTACTTACCTTTTCCATTCTTAAGTATGAGTAACTAAATTTTTAGTGAAATTTTTACTTTTGTTAATTTAAAAACTTACTGTTGGGAAGGGAAGAAAATTTTTTACAAGTGCCGTCTTTTAAGATTCTTGTTAGTGTTGTCACCTGACTCACATTGGAATAAACAAAGTTCTAGTCAAGAGGGTACAATGTTAAGTGGAAAATCTGTTATTTCACTTTTGTGGTGCTGGTTTCATGATAGACACAAGAAAGCAAAACCAAAAAAGGGAGAGTTAATCTTTTAAATACAATTAATGGCACTGGATTTTGAATGGTCAAAAGGCCATTATGTGTTGCATTATACTCTGGGGAAAAAAAAATCTCTAGCAGTAATAATTACAACATACAGAAATATGCATAAATTTTTTTTTGCATTTCAGACATCTGATAGCTATATCCTTGATTTTGTTAATGCATGCAGTTCGATAGAACAGTCTTGTCCTACTGAAGGAGATAATGCGAATGAAGATTGATTAATTTTATAAATCTAGGGCTTTAACAAAAGCTTAAACTGCATTTTTGAAGAGCTTCTAATAATTGACACTCCTTATATTAAATAAATAATTCTGGAATATATAAGATCTTTGAGTACTCATATGGTATCTTTTTAAAAAAATTTTAAATTCAATGAAGTAACATATAATGTATTATTTGTTTAAGGGATACAGGTCTGTGATTCATCAGTTTATTGTATGTGCTCATTACAGCACATACCTTCCCCAGTGCCCTTCACCCAGTTACCCATCTCCCCATTCCCCTTCTGCCCAGTGAGCCTCAGATTAAGAGTCTCTTATGGTTTGTCTCCCTCTCTGGTTTCTTCTTGTTTCATTTTTTTCCTCTCTTCCCCTGTGATCCTCTGTCTTATTTCTTAAATTCCTGCTCATATGGTGTCTTTTGCTATTATTTCATCTCTTTCTTTCTAGTTTACTATTTCCTAGGTTTAGTCCTTCTTACTGTCACCATAACCATGGCAGTTGTCTTCGATTAATTTTCTCGCATTTTTTTTGCTGGCATTAACTTTTCAAAATGTGGAGCAGTTCTTTCCATTCTTTTTTTTTTTTTTTTTTAAATAAAAGCTTTCAGAACTCCCTGTTCGTACTTGATTTCATACACCCTACCTAGCATTTGCTAGAGTATACCTCCTCTGGCTCTCGTGTGATCTACCTTCACTTTTAACTATATGTTTTCTTCCCGCTTAGGTAGTAGTCCTACTACTACTTGTTACCAGATGATAGATTTTCACAGCTTTCTGTTTCACTTGAATTCAGAGTGTAGTGCGCATCAGATTTAAACAAAAAATTAATTTGTTGCATTCCCAGAGACTGATTTTCACTCCTTCTCTCCATGTTGCAGTATGACATGTTGCTGATTCTATTTTCTCACAAGGATAAACCATAACAATTAAAAATCAAAACCAAACCCAAATCCAAATCTTTTCACACTTGGGAATTGTGTAGGAGAGCATGGGGAGTATAGTGAGTAAACTGCTTTGCTCTTGGGATTCTTTCATTGCCTTTCCAATAATTTAAACCTTCCTTATGTATCTGCAGTGAGGCAGTATTTGTGGGAGCAGACCTACATTAGCTATTCTTATCTGTGTCTTATTTTTTAAAGGAGGCTCTTTTTTCTTTAGATTTTATTTATTTGAGCAAGAGAGCAAGCATGAATGGGGTGAGGGGCAGAGGGAGAAGCAGACTCCCTGCTGAGCAGGGAGCCCAACGTGGGGGTTGATCCCAGAACTCTGGGATCACGACTAAGCCACTCAGGCGCCCATTATCTGTGTCTAATTTGTGACAAAATGTAATAATCATGAACATTTGCGAAATGGTTAGGAGAAAAGACAAATTTCTAATCTCTCTTTTTAACATCTTTTTTAGCCTGCTCTTGAGGTTCACAGATGATACTTTTGATCCAGAACTTGCCGCAACGATAGGTAAGCCTATGTCTAAAGTTCAGTAGAAATGCTAGGTATTTTCTTGCCTTCAGTATGTTTTATTTAAATTTTTCTACCCTCCATCTGCCACCCCATTGCTTCCATGTCTTTTGAATTCTTTGTCTTTTGAGGCTTAACTAGTTTCATTACGTTTCTGGAGTCTTTGTAGATCTCATCAAGCAAAAATAACTCATTTGTTGTTTCATGGCACTTGGTTAACACCACGGATATTACGATTGTCTGTACATACATTTTTTCTTGTACTGTGGATTGCCTTTCACTTAGCAACATGCAGTTATCTGAGTATTTATTGTCTGTCAGGCATTCTCCTAAGGGTGGGGTTATAATGATGAATAATATGGACTCGGTGTCTATCATCACGGACCTACCAGTATCACCTAATAGTAGAGTGTCTAAATTCTGCGTTTTTAGCATTGGCTACTATATCCTGCGTATATTGTGAACTCACATGTTTACTGACATTAGTTATTAAATATCATTAGGAGCAATAATACCTAAATGCCTTTTTAAAATGAAATTTAGATTGCTAGAAAGTGGTTTGCCCCATTAGCTCACTAGAATATATGAGAAGATTGAGCTATTTAGTGTGTGTACCCATGTTCAGGGAGTAGATGACAATATAAAGGCATCAAGAGACAGCTTGCATTGTGAAAGAGCTGAGTCAAAGTAGGGGAGTGGTCTTGGCTCTGCCTTAAACCAGTTGTCTAGATATTGAGGAAGTCTTTTAACCTCACTGTTTTCACCGATAAATGGAAGAGTTTTGGTGAGAGACAATGTGTTTTTCTTACAGCTCTAAAATTTCATGATCTGTTGAGTGGAATGTAATAAATGTGATCCTAGCATTATTATTAGGGAAAATAAAGAGTTTCTCTTAACTGGCTTTGTTTTCATTTATTACGTGTGGGGATTTGTATTTTTTTCTTTTTTTCAAATGTTAGGTAATTTCATACTAGAGAAAAGTTGTAAAAATAGTACAAGAATTCTTATATGTCCCCAAATGTTAATATTTATCACATATGCTTTATCATGCTCTAAGTACACACACACACACACACACACACACACACACACACAGTGTTCTTGGTTTTTTTGAATTGAGAGTAAAATTGCAGACAAGGTTAACCTCGAAATACTTTAATGTGTATTTCCTGAATGAACATGGATATAATTCTGCTGTATACAGACAGATTTCATTAATTGTCCCCCTAATGTCTTACTTAGCAAAAGAAAAAAAAAATTGTTTCTGGTCCAGGATCCAGTCCATGATCACAACTGAGTATTGTTGTTATTTCTCTTCAATGTCTTAATCTTGGCAGTTCTTTGATCTTTCTTTGTCTTTCCTGGCCTTGACATTTTTTGAGTACACACCAGCTCAGTTGTGTAGAGCATCCTTCACTTGCATCTGTCAAATATGTCCTTGTGGTTAGATTCAGTTTATGGATTTTTGGTGGGAATTCCACAAAGTGCTTCTCAGAGCATGATGTGTATTTGTACCATATATTTGTACCATGATTTGGTGATGGGACTTTGGTTACTTAAGGTGATATATGCCAAATTTCTTTAAAGTGTCACCCTGTCATTCTAACTATGGTGGTTGTCAAACAGTGATTTTTTAGAGTCCGTCATTCTGTCTATATTTCTTATTTAGAATTCTGCAAGGAAGAGGTCTTTTTTGTTTCTTTTTATCAATATGAATTCATAGTGCCTCTAAATGTTTAATAGGTTATACCAGGCATTATTTAGCTTTTGTGTGGCATATTAACTTTTACAGATTTACATTTATGTGTGTGAAAAGGAATCATTTAAAGCACAAGTAATTTAAAATCTATTTTAATTCGGCTTTGATATATTATTTGTTCTTTAAGATTTTTTTTTTTTTTTATTTGACAGAGATCATAAGCAGGCGGAGAGGCAGGCAGAAAGAGAGGAGGAAGCAGGCTCCCTGCTGAGCAGGGAGCCCTATTATTTGTTCTTTAAACAATTAGTAATAAATCTTCATTTCACTCAGTACATGCCTAGCAATGGATAGCAAGGAGTAGAAGAGTAGTAACTGGCAGGAAAATGAATTTGCCTAGAGTTAAAATTTTACTAAGGGAATGATCAATATATGATATAAAGTTATCTGTCTTCATTTCAAACCCAGATGAAATCTGGAGAGTTGGACAATGACAGATTATTTATTGTCCTCATTATTAAAAAGGCTTTGTCTGCTTTAAAAATAAATACGAAGATAGTGGCTTACTAATGATGTACATAACTTGTTCCCCAAATGGGCTCTGGGTCTTGGAAGGTATCTTTTACATTTAGGCATCAGATTATTTTCTGCCTGAGGTTATAACTAATGTACACATGAACTCTTAAACCAAAACAATTAGCTCAGTTGCTGTTGGCCTTGTAAAAATTAGTGTTTTGTGGAAAATTAGTATTTTACTGGTAAAATAGTAAGGAAAGCACACCTTTTTTTTTCTTTTTTCTTTTTTTTATTATATTTTTAAATTTTATCTTATTTTTTCAGTGTAACAAAATTCATTGTTTATGCACCACACCCAGTGCTCCATGCAATATGCCCTCCTTAATACCCACCACCAGACTCAGCCAACCCTCTACCCCCCTCCCCTCCAAAACTCTCAGTTTGTTTCTCAGAGTCCACGGTCTCTCATGGTTCATCTCCCCCTCCTGATTTCCCCCAACTCCCTTCTCCTTTCCTTCTCCCCATGTCCTCCATGTTATTCCTTATGCTCCACAAGTAAGTGAAACCATATGATAATTGACTCTCTCTGCCTGACTTTTTTCACTCATCTTAATCTCCTCCAGTCCCGTCCATGTTGATACAAACGTTGGGTATTCACCCTTTTTGATGGAGGCGTAATATGTATATATGGACCATATCTTCTTTATCCATTCGTCTGTTGAAGGGCTTCTTGGCTCTTTCCACAGTTCGGCGATTGTGGCCATTGCTGCTATGAACATTGGGGTACAGATGGCCCTTCTTTTCACTACATACCCAGTAGTGCAATTGCAGGGTCCTAGGGTAGCTTTATTTTTAGTTCCTTAAGGTATCTTCACACTGTTTTCCAAAGTGGCTACACCAACTTGCATTCCCACCAACAGTATAACAGGGTTCCCCTTTCTCCACATCTTCTCCGATGCTTGTTGTTTACTGTCTTGTTGATTTTGGCCATTCTAACTTGGTGTAAGGTGGTATCTCAATGTGGTTTTGATTTCAGTCTCCCTAATGGCTAATGATGATGAACATTTTTTCATGTGTCTGATAGCCATTTGTGTATCTTCTTTGGAGAAGTGTCTCTTCATGTCTTCTGCCCATTTTTTCATATTATTATCTGTTTTTGGGGTGTTGAGTTTGAGGAGTTCTTTATAGATCTTGGATACCAGCCCTTTGTAGTGTCACTTACGAATATCCTCTCCCATTCCATGGGTTGCCTCTTTGTTTTAATGACTGTTTCCTTTGCTGTGCAGAATCTTTTTATCTTGATCAAGTCCTAAAAGTTCACATTTGCTTTCATTTCCTTTGCCTTTGGAGATATGTCTTAAAGGAAGTTGATGAGGTCAATGTCGAAGAGGTTACTGCCTGCGTTCTCCTCTAGGATTTGATAGATTCCTGCCTCACGTTGAGGTCTTTTATCCATTTCAAGTTTATCTTTGTGTATGGTGTAAGAGAATGGTCAAGCTTCATTCTTCTATGCAGAGCTATCCAATAGGAAAGCACAGCTTTATCTTTCAGTAATATAGTGAGACATTCAAGTTTCAATCTTGTATAAAATATTCTTTTAACATAATTGTTGGATTTTGAATCCGAGGACAGTACAGTAAAGTTGGCATTTTCTTCTTTTGCTTTCTGGTGGTTAACTAGAATAACAACAAAGAGAGGGACAAACTAAAACACAAACCCCATATTCCACTAAAATAGAAGAAAGCTAAAAATCCTAGGCCACAAAATAGGTGGAATGGCTGCCAAAGGCAGTGAGTCTAAGCAGGCTGTATGTGGGAAGAAGTAGAGTGAGGATGCCACAACTGCAGAGCCTGGAACCAGCAAGAGAAGCTTCAGGAACCTGAGAGGCCCACCCTGAGATGCAAAGCCTAAATCCCTTTTTTGTGAAAGCAGAATGGGTTTTCTTGTTTTTTTGTTTTGTTTTGTTTTGTTATTTTAAGCTAATGGCAGGAGTTTTCCTGCACCTGGTTTGATTCTAAGAAGTTGGGGAGATGAAGCCAAACAAAGAATCACACAAACAAGACATTTTTACATTTGTCTGTCTCTGAAGCAGTAGGGGAAGTAATGGCTTTTCATTGGGAAAACCTCAAGGCTGCCTATCTCCATTGGTTGTTGAAAAGTTAAAAAACAAATAAATAGAAAAACTTAAATGATTCTCATATGAAACCTTGAACCAAAACATAGTTTTGATGGTCAAGAACTAGAACCACTGTAGCCTTCTGCATGAATCTCTTAAAAATAGCTTGTCCAGAAAAACTTCACCTCCTTTAAAGATGAATTATGAAAAGGATTTCAGCTTTAGGCCACCCCGACCACTCAAGAATCAAAAAGAAAGAAAGTAGCAGAAAAACAACAGACAGATGAATACTCAGCAGAAAAAATATTTCTGTAGAAAAGATGAAAATCATGCCTAGCTGTTTTGCTATGAATGTAAAACAGTTTTTGGAAGTATTTAGCACTGAAAGCACAAAGCAGTGGTACAAGAGTTCAGGAAGAGATAGTGAGACTGCATGAGAAAATGCAGTGTAGGCCAATGGAGAGGAAAGAAAAATAAGGTAAGAAAATAAAACCATCACTGAAATAAAGGTGAAATTAGAAGGATCACAAGGGATAGTAGAGACTGTGAAAAACAAAAGACAATAGAAGCTAAAAATGGAAAAAGTGGGTAGAATTTACCAAAATGAATGAAAATGTTAAAACACATTGGAGAGAAAAAAATGATATGGAAATTAGAAAAGGAAATTCAGCA